GTCTTCCAAGACGGTGCTCCTTATCGGATTTCTCCACTAAAATTCTGTATGCATTTCTTGTTAAAAATCTGTACTGCTCCTCCAGTATGGTGAGGGTGATTAAGTCGAGAAGGGTGAGATGGGCGGGACATGTAGCGCGCATGGATGGGACAAGAGGTGTGCACCGGGTACTGGTTGGGAAACCTGAAGGGAAGAGACCGCTGGGGAGACCTAGACGTAGATGGGAGGATAATCTCAGGCGGGATCTATGGGAGATAGGAGTTGAAGGAGACTGGATTTTGTTGGCCCAGGACAGGGTCCGGTGGAGGACTTTGGTTAATTCGGTGATGAACCTTCGGGTTCGGTAAGCCATCTAGTTAGTTAGTTAGTTATGCATTTCTTGTCCCTAACATCCTCACCAAATTTGCAGCCTCCTAGATTTCACCTGTGCTAACACGAGGTGAAGCTGCTCGCAAAAGAAACTGTTTCAAGCACCCAAATCGTCCGTTACGCAATGAAGGTTGCACATGCAGAGTGAGGTGAAGCTGCTCGCAAAAGAAACTGTTCACGATTTGACGAAAAATTCCACGCTACATCAACAACGGACTGGAATCCAGAACTCAGCTTTCGTCCGTCTAATTAAAAGCCAGCATTCGCTTCGTTTTCTGGTCAGACGCAAACTCAGTCTTTAGTAAGACCGTGCAGAATAATAGTCTGAATGCAGACTCCCCCCCCCCTCACACCCAAAAAAGAACAGTTTCAAGCACCCAAATCGTCCGTTACGCACATGCCGAGTGCTACACGCACACACGGTGTTAAATATGACGCAACGGTGGCGCGCCAGTGTGACCGGCGCTTACAGCTAAAAGCGTAAGGACAGGCAGGCAGTCAATCCGTCATAGACCCTGCAGCGGTAACCACAGCAAGAGGCTTTTGAATGAAGACAAGAACAAACGTGGTATTAGATTAACGCCCTTGGTCTCCTCCACGGTCAAAATCTAATTACAAAACACCCCGGAAATTTGTACTTCAACTTGACTTTACACTGCAAGAAAAATAGTTAACTTTGCCCACAAGTTTCCAAAATAGACCCCCGCCCTCTAAACGGAGTCGACTTGCCGCTGCAGTAATGAATTTCCAACGAGGGACTGCGCCCAAACGCTGCCATATCAGAAATGCAAACAAAGAACAACAAGGCGTGTGACAAATGGCCGACAATTAATCTGACAACATCGTAACGTCGTTTGAGAGTGACGTGCCTGAGAAGGTTCCATATATTCGGACACAAGATATTTATTTCCAATGGAAGTAAGAAAGTTACATAACGAGGAGCTGACCCCCCACAGCTGTAATACGGTGACGAAAATGTACTCAATAACTGCGTGAGGAGTGCCGACTGGAAACCATTAGCAGAATACGTCATTTGTGAAACCTAGAAAAAACAATTTAAGTATATCTACATACTGAGCAAATGTTTGCTGGTTGACCGGACGCTTTGCCTTCCAGCATTTTGGTCCTTGTGGGATAAGATTCATGGGAGTGTTGTTATAACCGTTGCCATGGTAATGCTGTTGAGGGGTTATGGGCCTTACGGGATAATATTTACGACTGTGTATTCACTGCTTTCCACGGTGGTCTAGCGGTTAGAACGCTGGCCTTGTAATCCTGGGGTCTCGGGTTCGATTCCCGGCGGTGCCCGAATTTATAACTTGTGTTGGGCAAGGCCGTGATCTAGGCAACACGGAGTTTTCCTCCGTGGCATCCCAACAATTACTCCATTCACACACAGAAGAAGGCAATGGCAAACCACTTCTGGATCATCTGCCAAGAACGTATATGAACAGGTCCCAGTCCGAGAAAAGGATGGAAGGATCCTGTTCATATGGACCTGTCGTCAGACAGAACACTAAATAAAAAAATAATAATATTCACTGCTTTAAATTTTCCCGTCATTCTTGACGGACAATTTCTAGCAACACTGCACTATAGCAGAGGCCCGGTTCCAGTTGGTACACAGAGGGTATTTCCCGGGCATAAGCACGAAGGTGATCACTCTCTTCTATCTACAGCCGATGTTAAGAATGCTCAGATTTCATTTCACTCTTCGTTCGTTCACTGACAAAGTTTTTGGTTCTGCAAGGCCTTCGAAGTCACTGTGCAACCCTGGCAATACTGGCGGATCGATGTTAACCGTACAGTGACTTTCCGAAAGTCCTGTATAGGGTGTCGGTTATGTGTCTACGGCGGCGAAAATCTGATTGCCGTAAAACATGCCATCTCCTCTTATTCACAACACCTGATAGGAGAAAATCTAGCGGAATGTTATGTTTTCACTATCAATCAAATTTACAATACAAAATAACTTCAATCCCCACGGGAAAAAGAACCACACTTCATCTCGCTAATACACAAGTCCGGACACAAAAGTACCCCAAAATTCCCACGAAATACGG